GAGAGAGAGAGAGATTGAAAGAGTTTTTTTTGCCCTTTCGTCCTTTCGAAGGGAGATACGAGGAACGTTGGAAAAAAGAGGGAGGAAAATGAAACGGTTATCATGAATTAGCCAAGTCGATTTTCAACCCGAGGATCAATTCGATCGAGTGACAGGAAAATAAAAGTGAAAAGGGTAATAAATATATGACAAGTCTAAAGGGTCACAAAGGAGGAGGAGAACTCTCGTTTTTCATCCTCGACCGAATCTATCCGCGGTGTGTCCATCGGTGAAGGTGCGTACGTGAGCGAAATTGTGAACGGTCTAATAATAACCAGCCTCTTACTTATATGGACGCTTGATTTTAATTCAAGCAAAAACCGCCTCCTTCCAGGCCTCGTCCTTTTGGTGCGCGGGGTCAGTGATCATCATAATCGAAAAACGCGAGTAGCATCCGAAATCGGTCGTCGAAATGATCCCTATCGCTCGGGAAATATCGCATTATTTTCGTCGGTTATGGCAACAAGATTTCGTCTCACCATCAGTGGAGACAGTAGCAACGTAAATATCGTGCAACGTTTCACACGCTCGAAAATTTTCTCTAAATGTCGGTCACATCGTTAATACAATTTTCGTAGATAGAAGCGAGAAAAAATAAGAAGACAGAAATATATATATATATATATTTTTGTTAAAGATTAATATTTGAAATGTAAAACATGTGGAAAATAAATCAAATGCGATTCGTGCTCGCTATTCCGACAAGCGTTTCATTTTAATCCCGTGCTGAATTATTATACAGATGCAAAGAAGTGGTTTATTCGCAAAAAATTCTAAAGGATTCTTTTAAACGTTACTACGTGTCATCTGTGATCAAAAATTTTATTTAAAGAAAAAATACAGTTTATATATCGTACGCATTTTTGATTGAAATTATCCATTTCTTCTTTCTTCTTTCTTTTACAGTAGGAAGAAGTGAAAATTAGCAAAGATGTATGGCCTAATTTTGGAAAATATGTCTGAATACATACGGCAGGTGTACGGGGAAGATAGATGGGAAGAGATCCGACGACAAGCGTCCGTAGAACAACCCAGCTTCAGCGTTCATCAGGTTTATCCTGAAAATCTTATACCGAGATTGGCGAAGAAAGCTATTCAGGTAAGTGTATGATATTGAATCGGTGTAATTTTAAATTCTCGCTGAAAACAACTGAAGAAATTTTGCATCGTTCATTATCACGAGATCTGACAATAATGAATAAAATTTAATAATTGAAGGTACAAATAATACACGATAAAATAATCGAAAATAATTGTAGTGCCAAACGGCTGAAGTTACAATGAAAAGGATCTATAATTATAATAACTACGAACAAATATTATTCGTGCATTTTAAAAAATAATTAAAAATTTTAATCAAAGTTTTTAACTACTTACTTTTTTAACGAAGTTAATGCTTAACTTTGAACGGCGATCATTTTAAAGTATCGAACTGTAGAAAAAATTTTCATGATTTATCGTCAGACCACGTATAACGGACAAAAATGGACGATTCTTCTAAATTTCTTTCTTCTTCTTCTATATTTCTTTTGTTCCTTTCGTCTGTTAAAATGAAACGTCGTTTAATTCTATCGAATACGTTTCTCGCTCACACCACAGGTACTTGGCGTAACGGAAAAAGAATTTTTCGATCAGATGGGTGTACACTTCGTAGGATTCGTTGGCCAGTACGGTTATGATCGTGTGCTTTCAGTACTTGGACGTCACGTAAGAGATTTCCTCAACGGATTGGACAATTTACACGAATATCTGAAATTCTCCTACCCTAGGATGAGAGCTCCTTCCTTTATTTGCGAGAACGAGACGCGACAAGGTAAAAATCTTCCCCCCGATTCTCGATCCGAATCGTATTAAAGAAAACACTTTGAAATGTTATTTTCTAAAATACTGTTCGCTGCTGAAAAGAAGTCTCGCGGGGCAGGGGTAGCGGGGCAAGAGGGGTTCTTCGCTAGGACCGCCCATCCCCACTTCGGACGCTTTGTTGACAATTCTAACGCTACACAGTAGTAGAAGAGGTTGAATATTGAAAATCGTAAAAATTATTCTCACTTTCAGGAAGTTACGTTATAGGATAATTCAAAACTATTTATATCTAACTTATTTTTATATATATATACAATTATTATCTTAACTATTTGAATACGAAATTTCATTTATAAATTAAACTATCTTTACAAATCATAATTAGCCTTCTACGTATATTACGAAAAATCGATTTTTCTTCCACATTGACCAATCAAGCTCGCATTTTTTTTTTCTTGCCAGATTTCTTTCCAGCAACGAATAATACGATATCCAGATTTCTTCGATCCGTCTTTTTTAAATGTTTTCTATATAAAACAAGTGGCAGATTCCATCTATAAAAAGAAAAATCATGGTCTAAATTTACATTGATTGCCCTTCCCTCCTCGTTGTAGGCCTGACCCTCCATTACAGGAGCAAACGACGAGGATTCGTTTATTACACGATGGGCCAGATAAGAGAGGTGGCTCGTCACTTTTATCACAAGGAATTACAGATCGAGCTTGTGCGCGAGGAGATCCTTTTCGACACCGTGCACGTCACCTTCCAACTCACCTTCGATAACAGGGCTTTTACGCAAGCCTCGTTGGCGATGACGCGCGAGGAGAAACATTTGCCAATAGGAGCTTCCGTTTTGTTCGAAATATTCCCTTTCTGTATCGTTTTCGGGTATGCTTCGGTATTTCATTTCGTCTCGCGATCATATAAATAAATTACAAGTTGATAACTTTTCCCTCCCCTCTATAACCGAGCTTCCGTCTCTTTCTTTTTTTTTTTCAGATCGGATATGATCGTAAGAAGTATTGGAAATTCGTTGATGGTAATATTACCCGATCTTATGGGCAAAAAGATAACCCATTTCTTCGATCTCGTCAGACCGCTTATCGCATTTAAGTTTCATTCCGTACGTATCGATAGAATCTCATCATTTCGATTATTCTTCGAGTTATTATTATTATTATTATTATTATTATTATTACTACGTATGTGACGGTGACGATGGTTTACTTTCGTTGCAGATTCTAAACAGGACGAACAATATTTTCGAATTGGTAACCGTGGAACCGATTCTCACTGAACGGCCATCAGATCGACAAAGAAATGAGATTTTATTGAGCGATGAACTCGATTCGGTAGATGACAGAACATTGAGATTGAAAGGTATCCCCTTCCGTTTCCTTCTTTTTTTTTTTTTTTTTGCAAATTTACAAAGACCGATTCGATTTAATCGTCTCGCGAACCGGTAATTATTCAATTTCGTTGTAAAAATGTTTTAGGCTTTTAGAAATATTCCATCTTACAAAGGAGGCTCTTTATTTTTTACTCGAATATTAATCACAATTGGAAATATTATCCTTAAGATGTAAGGTATATCTGTGCAATAGTTTACGTTTTAGTTACGCAGCCTGAAAACGAAACTCTTTTTATTTCAAGATTATTAATTTGTTTCTTACGATGATTCGCTTACACATTTCGTATATTCGTATTCGAGGTATTAAAAATATTTATTTGCGTATCCAAAGTTAAAATCGCGTGGCGTGTGTAGAAAATAAATTACTCGGGATGTTGACCTTGAGACAGAAATCAGTAAGGTCAACTACTTTTTTTTTTTTCCCCCAGTTTGGCTTTACCAAAAAATTGTAATGGTGATTCACCTGATCCGTCGTATTTACACTTTGCATATTTCAGTTTCTCTTCTTATCCTTCGAGATTAAAATATCATTTGAAAGAAAAAAAAAAAAAAAAAAAAATTAAGTCATTTTCGTAGAACCGAAAGCGATCCAATCATGATCAAAAATGTTGATCCCAACAATGTGAAAAATACATCTATACTTTGGAAGAAAGATTAGTTAAAAAAAAAAATAATGTGAAAATTTGTTTAAGAAAATTTAAATATATTCGAGAAGGAGGATACATTTTGTTTATCCGTTCTCTTCGAATCTTTGTAATCGAATAATCCACCACATCCCTTAGGTCAGATGATATATATGGATAATTGGAAGATGATGATGTATCTTGGTACACCCGTTATGCCAGATCTCAACGCTTTGATCGCGACGGGTCTTTACATAAACGATCTATCCATGCACGATTTCAGCAGGTGACGATGCTCTTTCTTTTATTATTATCATTATTATTATTATTATTATTATTATTATCATCAGATCGCGATCGAAGAATCGCACGTTGTACGATGGAGCCTCATATTGCAGGGATTTAATGCTTGCCGGTACGCAACAATCGGTGGAGCTTAAGTTAGCTTTGGATCAGGAACAATTGAAAAGCAAGAAGCTAGAGGAGTCTATGAGAAAGTTGGACGAAGAAATGAAACGTACGGATGAATTGTTGTATCAGATGATACCGAAACAAGTGGCGGATCGTTTGAGAAACGGCGAGAATCCGATAGACACGTGCGAAGTAAGGAAATCAATCCTTTCTTTAACGATTTTCTATTTTCTTTTTTTTTTTTTTTTTTTAACGTACGATCAATCGTATCTTTCAATGTTCTTCGACCTTGTTAAAAAAAACAAAAAGCCGAATCTTGTTATCAACGTTCGGAATTTTATTTTTCGCGACGCACAAAATTTCACGTTGAAATAACTATATTTCAAGAACACGGCTTCTTTCGATCGTAAAAATTATATATCTATCTTCCTCTACTGTTCACTGCTGAGAAGAAGTTTCGCTGGTCGGCATGAGGGACAAGAGGGGCAAGAGGGGTCCTTCGCTAGGACCGCCTATTTCCACCTCGAACGCTTTGTTGACAATCCTGATATGCAACACATAGCAGTAAAAAATATATATAATTTAAATATTTAAAATCGTAAAAATTATTTTCATAAAGTTATGTTAGGTTAATTATTTAAGGAAAGCTGAAATATTTTCAAAATTATAGTATATTAGCTAGCTTATTCCTATATATGAATATAAAATTACATTTATAAATTAAATTATTGTATCTACTTTGCTAGATTTTATTATCCCTCTCTGACAAATACCATGGTAGAAACAAAAATGCGTGTAGAAATACGTTTCCTTCTATATTAACCAATCAGATCTGCATTCCGTAAGACTTTTTTCCAGCAGCGAATAGTACTTTCTTCTATCGCCATTTTCCTAAACTCGATCGATAACGTGCGATATGATGACGAGAATCTATTCCAATTTTATCGACGAAACGATAGACGAAAGAGGAGGAGAATAGCGAGGGATAAGTTTAAAAAAAAACGTGACGCGTATTTTTGAACAGTGTTTTAGATGTCGAAAAATAGGGATCTTTTTGGCCGGCGTTGATTAACACGTTTCGCTATCATGACTATTTCAGATGTTCGACAGCGTTTCAATTTTATTCTCGGACGTAGTCACATTTACAGAAATCTGCAGCAGAATCACACCGATGGAGGTGGTGTCCATGTTAAACGCGATGTACTCCCTTTTCGACACGTTAACGGAAAGGAACCGGGTGTATAAGGTATTCTTAGGTAGTAAGAGTTAGCATTTATTCGTCAATCAAATCATTATCTCGCTAAATACGTTACTTCGATTAACTTTTCAAACTCGATTTATTTTCAACGCGCATCGTAATCGAAAGATTTTTTCAAACAATTTTTTAAAATAGATTTAAATGATTGAACAAAGTCAAAATTCGGAAGAATATTATTCCCGGTTACGATGCGTGGATAATTTTTTCACAAACCGATATATAAAATTTTCGTTTTTTTTTTTTTTTTTTAACATCTCTTTGTTTCGTTCGCAGGTCGAAACGATCGGGGACGCCTATATGGTGGTGTCCGGTGCTCCAGTGAAGGAGAACGATCACGCGGATCGCGTGTGCGACATGGCACTCGATATGGTCGAGGCGATAACAGACCTGAAAGATCGTTCCACAGGTTGGAAATCATCATCACTGGCTTAACAACACTGATTTCGACAAAGTAAAAACGTAATCATTTCCTCCGATGTGATCGTCGTTTTCAGGCCTTCATCTTCAAATACGAGTTGGTGTTCACAGCGGGGCCGTGGTGGCTGGTATAGTGGGTTTGAAAATGCCGAGATACTGTTTATTCGGCGACTCCGTGAACACGGCGTCCCGCATGGAGGCGACCAGCCAAGCGATGCAAATACACATATCGCAATCGACGCGAGAACTATTATCACCGTCGTATAGGGTTAAGGAACGGGGGGAGATAGAGGTGAAAGGCAAAGGTGTAGTGACCTTTATATATCTCGAATATTAGCGAATCGAATCGAATGAAAATATTTCAAATATATATATATATAATATATACATATATATATATATATATCTGGCCTGGTTTCAGGAATAATGAAGACTTATTGGCTGGAGAAAAGAGAGCATAGGTCATCGTCGACCAAGGGAATCACCTTTCAGGAACCACCTCAATGGCATACGAGAAGCACCGAGAAAAGAGTATCTGCGGGAACGCCTGCTGCTTTCAACATTTCGACGACCATATACGAAAATCAAAATTGTCTGGACGCGTCGTCCTCTAGGAGGGGTTCCAAGATTGGCTCCCCTACGCCCGCAGAATCAACTTTTATCCCCGAGGAGAGAAGGATTTATTCCCCTATCACGTTCCAAGACGTGGCTCGTAGATCGGTGGCAAATTCACCGACCAAGAATGCCGATTCGAGAGGTAAACAGTTTTGTTATTTATATGATATAGTACTATTTTACGAAAACATAAACATCAGATGCATGCGGCGATTATCGAGAGAAAATATTTCAAATTGACACGTGTCCTCCTCGTGTTTACTGCTGGAAAGAAGTCTCGCGGGACGGCACAGGGGCAAGAGGGGTCCTTCGCTAGACCGCCTATCTCCACTTCAGACGCTTTGTTGACAATCCTGACATAGCTACGTAATCCTAGAAGAGCTATAATTTGAATATTCAGAATCGTAAAAATTATTTTCACTTATAAAATTAGGATAATTTTAATCATAAGACTGAAATATTTTCGAAACTATTAATTATTTTGATATATATTGATGAATATTAATATTCGTATACATTACACTTACATTTATAAATTAAATTATCATTAAAAATCATAATTAGTCTACACATATGAGAAACAAAAAAATTTTTATATTATATCAATATTATATTAAAATATATGAAATCCATCGTTAATGCATCGAGGTTAGATCACCGTTTTGGATTAATATATGTGATTATGGTAAAAACAAAAATACGTGTGTGAAAATAGGCGTTCCCTTCCAAATTAACCAATCAGATGTTCCGTGAGATTTCTAGCAGTGAACAGTACACATATAACCTATAAATTAAAATGATAAAAGTGTACATTTATTAATTATGTACAAAGTGCCGCAAATACGTTAGAACATTCATAAATGGAAAATTGACACCATTATTTCTCTTTTGCAAAAACTTTTATTACTCGTTTTGAATCATTAAAACATAAATCCAAGCAATATATCTCGAAAAGGAAAGTATATCGAATACAACAAGTATTTTTTCCTTTTCTCTCTTTCGAAACTGCCTGGGCAATCTCCAGTTTATCTCGAGCAGATGTTCGAACGAGAAATGTCTCACCAAATTTCACTTGTACTCATTTCAATCGATATCGATTGCAGAGTACAGATCGAATTCGATGGGTGCGGTGATAAGCAGAAACTCGGAGATGTTCAGCTCCCTTCTCAGCGACACGGAACAACACTTCAGACAGCACAGAGATAGTTTATCGCCCCGGGCTGAGAATCGATCGGCGATCGTGCACTTGGAAGCGAGCGCGAACGCGAACTCGAGCACCTCGTCGGAGGAGTCGCGCGAGGAGAAAGCGACCACGTCCCTGGAAGCGGAGAAGCGAGAGAAGAGCGAGCATTGCGAGAAGGGCAAAGAGTATTACTCGACTTCGTTTCACACCGACATCGGTAACTCGCAGTCGCTCGCGCATCAGGACCAGTGCTGCCCTGGCTTCAGCATGACGAAGAGCGGGAAGACGCGTCACCAAAATACCGGATGCTGTATCGCTTAATCGAGTTGATTTCGTTCTCTCTTCCCCCCCCCTCCTCCTCCTCTCTCTCTCTCCTTCCCATCCCCTCCATCGACGCGATAGAACCGTTTTCGTGATCTTCGCGAGCGTAGATTTTCTGTTATTAAAAATCGACTGTATGCGTGTGAATATATGTGTGTGTATGTGTGTGTATTGTCGAACGAAACCGACGTGTCGTGCAATTCGTAAAGATAACACTCAAAAAAGTGTCTTAAACGAAATATCACTATACATAGCGTAGTGTTGTTAATCTTGATACGTGTATGTCGAGTATTTTAAATGGAAAGAGCAACAAACGAATAAGTTTCCTTGAAAGTTTTTTTTTTTTTTTTCTTTTAAATATCACATTTGTCCCCCACTGTTTTCGTGAACGTGAATCACCGTGTTAGATAGCTTTAAATTTGTCCGAAGGAAACATTTGTCAATAATTTCCATATAATTTCCATTTTCGAAGTTATCGAGTGCAATAAAAGTAGAATCGTTCGTGTTTGTTTCTTTTTAAAATAATCGTATCTTTTTTTTATCCATTTGGGTCGTAATTAACTACGTATATCAATAATGAATACTCAAATGGTTGTTAGCTATTATCTCGATTCGCAAAATGACGAGCAAATATACCTAATGTAAAACATATAAAAAGAAATGTTTTCAATTTTAATTTTGTAAAAATATTAATATAAACACGAAATATTAAATATTTAAAACGGAATATGTATAAATATCGAGGAATCGTCAAAAATTTACGATTACTTTTTTTAATTAACCTACTTTACTTACCCACCGATGATACTTCTTTATCGATGTTTAGTAAGTTAACGTCTTTTTTTTTTTTTTAACTAATATAACGTGATCGTTTTTATATTTTATCAACTTTTTTATACCAAAATTTTATATCACGAACAAATATCGATCTCGTTATTTAGATTTTTTTTAATTGTAAGAATCGAAGTCAGACTATCAATCTCGGTACAATTGGTTCAAGAATAATTTCTACCTTTCTTTACTTCACATTTTTAATCTATCTCTCATTTTTTTTTCAAAATTACAGACTATCGGGTAAAGGTAGCTGAATTAAGTCTGCAAATTGCGTAAATTGCCAACTTGCGCTTTTCAACTTTCATAATACGGTCCGAACGAATCAATTTATTCCTTGAATTAATTACAGCCTTTCAAACGGAATGTCTAACGATAGTAATTACAGTTCCTGTCGAGTGGACTGTCAACATACGTATCGGCAAAGTTGCTGGGATCAGTTTTTGGAAAGTGATCGTTGTAAAAGGATATTAGAATTCTTGGAATGGATGGTATTCAGCACGAGTATCTGCGAGTGAATAAATATCTTTTGCTCGTGGTAAGCGCATGGCCTTATCAAACCATTCTTCAAAGAAGTTTGATTGGAATTATCTTCATTCCCATTGTTACCGCTCAATTAATTCTTCAGGTATCGATGCATTTGGATAAATATTTTATTTTTTTTAAATACATTATAATTATCCGGACACACTTGAGAACACGAAAGTACAATAATATTAATTTAGAAAGAACATACACTTACACTTACATGGATATGGATTTAAATAATTTTTTTTCAGTTTGGAGGAATGGTGACTGCCATAATTGCTGGTGATATCGAGTCATTTTTGGAAAGTTTTGCACCTTTAGCAATTAGTTTAATGTGTTTTGTTAAGTATATCAATTTCCTATATAATTTCAATCAGGTATGCGTTTCACATCTCTCTCTCTCTCTCTCTCTCTCTCTGTGTGTGTGTGTGTGTGTGTGTGTGTGTGTGTTCCAATTCCATATAACCTTGATATTTACATTCGAATAGATGAAACGTTTGATGGATATAATGCAAGAGGACTGGAAGTTTCACGCGAAATTGAGAGACGAATATGAAATTCTTTGCGAGCATTACGCGATAGCAAGAAAAATTACTACCAGTTTCGTAGGTGAGATTAATATTAAATAAACTTCCAACAGCTTGTAAAAAAAAGAAAGCTTTCTCTACTCGAGATCAAGATTACTTTTACAGTAAGCAGCTAAGAAAAAACAGAGAGAGAAAGAGAGGGAGAGAGATTTAAAAAAAAAAACCTCTTTAATACTTACAAGGAACGTTTGCGTTAACTCGTTGCACGTAACAGCTTTTCTATTGGGATTAATAACACCGTTCGGGGCGATGCCATTGCTGCTGAACATAGGTGACGCTTTAGGACTTTGCAACATATCGGATGACAGACCGTTGGCCTTTCGAGTCGAGTATTTCGTGGACGTAGATAAATATTATTATTTTCTTTTGATACATTCGTACATCGGCACTCTTGGGTATACCGTCATTGTGTTGGCCATCAATTCGATGATAATCGTTTACGTTCTACACGAATGCGGACTTTGCGAAATTTTGAGGTAATTTTTTTTTCTTTTTTTTTTTAACATATGTGCTTTTCGAAGACAAAGTGATTTGTCCAATGAATGAACACTGTTGCTCGTATAATACGAGAAAGTAAAATTTTCTGATCGAAAAAAAATATTTCTAGTGGAAATCCATAGAATCCATCATTTTCTTTTAAAATACGAAAACGAATGAATATAGAACCAAGTTTTCTTCAAAAATATTTTAATCCATTTTCGGCCCAAACTTTTTATAACAAAGTGATGCAATTAAATATATCGTTAAGAATTATACTGCTGAATGCATAACTTTGATAACAATACTAAGAGGATCAAATGATTTGTAAATATTAATTTTATAAGGATTCCATTCACTGGACAGTTCATCCTATCGAGGATAAAATTATGAAAGTAAAATGAATCAATTTATAATTGTTCAGAGTGAAACTAGAGAACTTTGTGGAAACCGATGCAATGGACGTAGAACTACGCCCCAATAAATTCAAAGAGGATAAATGGTATCAAAATGCCAGGGACTGTGTGCTCTTGCACAAACGCATAATCGAGTCAGTATCGAATTAATCACGTTTCAATTAATTCTTATTACCTTTTCTCTCTCTCTCTCTCTCTCTCTCTTTTTAACTATTTTTCAAATATCCTCTTTTTTTCATTCAACCAAGATTCGCTAAAATACTCGAGGATGCAAATACCACGTCTTACTTGCTTCAGCTAGGATTCAATATGATTTGCATAAGCTTCACACAGTTCCAGGTCAGACTTTTGCATTAATTTTATATTAGTTATAAATTGCTATTTATATATATCTATCTATCGTTTCCTTCTCTTTTCTTATTTTTTTTTTTTTTTATATAATCAGGCAATAATAAATATACAAGACACGCCCAAAGTTCTCAGATACGTTTCAATCACGATTTCCCTTTTGTGCGATCTTCTGTTCATCAGTTGGACGGGGCAACAGTTATCGAATTCCACCGAACGTATTTTTCAATACACGTGAGAAATTTTCCACGCTGTTTATTTTATATAATCTACGAATAATACGATAAATAATAAAGAAGAATTGATCGAACGAATAAAAAAAAAAAATATTTCCAGAACAAACGGGAAATGGTACCAATCGTCGATAAATTGTAGAAAACTTTTGACAATAATGCTGTCGAAAAGTATAAAACCGTTGAGATTAACAGCTTGCAAACTCTACACTTTAAATTTAGAAAGTTTCACTGCGGTAAGACTTTTCTTCTCATATCGATCTTTTAACCGTCTTTAATTAATAATCTTATCTTCCAAGCTCGTCGTTACAATCTTATCTTAATCTTTTTTTTTAAACGTAATTATAGATATATATATATATACATTTCCACGTTTTGTTTATTCGTTATTTCGTTTTCACGTTATTTATTCACTTTAAGATTGCCAAAACATCAGCCTCTTACACAATGGTACTGTGCTCCCTTCAGTAATTTATCGACCACGAATGGGCGATTATCAAAGAGGAGGAGAGGACGAGGAAAATTGTAAACGTATTATCGAAATAAAAATGTAATCGTAAGTGTTCGAAAATTTTTACGAGAAAACGGTCTTTTCTTTTTTCCTTTCTTTTCTTCGTTCCACTTTCATTCGCGTTTCTTTATTTTCGTCGAATCGCACCCATAACCGTTTCTCGCGTACCATATGGCTCTCGAGGTTCTCGATACTTTTTCGAGAAAAATAGATCGCCGACGGTGGAAACGGCAACACCGATCTATCACGGTGCGAGCCACGTGCCCCACCTGGGCTTAATTGATTTTCAGTGACCATCGAACGAGCCGTTCGAGCGCCGATGAAAACTTGTTAACGACTCTGTCACAATTTACGACGTCCATCGAAAACCAATTATCAATTATACAAGAAAAGAAGGAATAGCAGAATAGAAGTGATCGTAGATAGAGCGAATTAAAATGAAAATCTTGCCAGGATTCGACTTTGTGAGAACAAGAAATGAACTTTATACGAATTAATACAACTCGTAAATGAAAATTTGTTTTAACGAAAACACATTCGAAAACTAATTATACTTTTCAAAGGGGATGAAATAATGGGAATGGTTCTGATTGAACCATGTACGATCTTTATTAGGTGAAACGAATTATAATAAAACTCGCATCTTTTAGGTTAAGAAATTTGTCAATGGAAAAAAATTAATTATAATTTCTCGACGGATAAAATAAACAGGATCGTGAATGTATGTCATCGTATTTTCATTAATAAAACGAATATATTATAATTAAGAATTACAATAAAGTGTCCAATTATAATAAAATATTACGTCTTTGCTAGATTAAGAAATTCGTCAACGAAAGAAATTAATTGTATTTATCAAAGTGTGAATTAACAAATTCAAATTCAAGAATCGTGAACTTTTATTGATAAAATATTTGTTAGAATTTGTTAATAAAAAATCCTAACCTACCTTACAAAATAAGAGTGGATTCGAGGATCGTTTATTGATAAAATCCTTGCTAGATTACAAAATTTGTTAATAAAAAAACTTAACCTAACCTATAAAATAACAAGAGTGGTCCAAAATCGTGAACTTTTATTGATAAAATCTTCTTTGCTAAATTAAAGAATTTGTCAACGACAAGAACCTAACCTATAAAATAACAAGAGTGGTCCAATTTCTACACGTGGTCGTGAATGGTCGACAAAATAAAATAAAACTGGCGTCCTTGCCGGGTTAACGAATCCTGGAGGAGGACTGCACCGTCACATCCGAGTGGACAAGCTTTTTTTCCCCATGGAATCGGCCCTCTTTATCCTGAAATCTGCCGCGCTCACCGGGATAACACCTTGCGGCCCGGTTGGCGCAAGGCACGCGCCGGCAAACCAGGGGTAGATCCCGCTCAGAGATCGATATCTCTAATTGTCTCAAGGCGATTCGTCCCGACCGTTGCATTCCAATAATTTTCCCTCCATTTAGTCCTTATTCTATAATCCACGTGCTGATTGTGAGTGAATTGCATTTTTACAGTTTATTCATTGATGATGCTTCGAACACACGTAAGTATATTCATTTCTTTTTTTGTTGTTCCCTCCGTGGCTTCTTTTTGTTCCCAACGATGATCGAGATACGCTTATTATATTTTTTTTTTAGTCTCCTTTAATGAAGGCATCTGTCGTCCCGTCGATACGAAAGGAGCAAAGGAAGAAGAAACTTGTTGTAACCTAGAAACAGAGATACAATATAATAATTCGCACGTCACTTCGACTTAGCAGCTCTTAAAGATCTCCCCTCCTTTCAACCCACTCTCCTCAAGAATATTAAGCGGAATTTAAATCAACAGGTACACTTCCTCCCCGCCGTTTCGTTATCTAAATCAACAGGTACGCTCCCCTGTTCTCCAGGAAGTGCTCAACTCAAGTGTAGAGCAGTAGTAGTAGAACACGAGGAAGGAGTAAACGAAAAACGCGATGGTGTGAGGGGTGAGGCGGAGACGAAGAGAGGGTAGATGCAGAAGGAGGCAGAGAACGATGGCCACACCAGGTGTATCCACGGAATGGACATAAAACGTACCATATGTTGATGCGGTGAAGGACGCCATGGCACGCGCCACACTCAAACTCGAGCCTTTACACCGCGAGGATCGCCGACTCCTCTTCTCTCTTCATTATCGCTGATGAGACACACGATCCCGCTTCGTTCCGTGTTCCTTGCGCCTCTGGAAGAAATTACAAAACGACGAGTTAGATGGAAATGTCGATCGGTAATCATGTGATACCGGATCATTTTACGTTTCGTGTGCCGTCGAATGTTGGACGAATTGAAAGCTTCGAGGGAGATTTACGTTTTTTTCGATTATAAGTGAAAAACGAAAATTACGTTGAGTTTGGTTCGATCGTTCGCTTCGTTTGTTAGAAATCGCAGTGAAAATTGAAATCGAGTCAAAAGTGTTCTTGGAAAAATTCTAAAGAAGAAGAAATCATCTTATCGTCTTATCTTAATGACATGTTAAGAAGGGAAGCATGGCTAAAGACTTTAAAATTTGGCGAATGAAATAATAGGAAGGTTTGGTGGAATTTATGAAACGTTATTTCAAAAGTAAATAAAAAGGTAAATAGTCGTTGAAACTATGGCTCTTTTATCGAATCACCACGAATACCCAATTTCTCCTGAAATTGCAACGACCGTCTATCAGTCCGCGACCAGAACTTACGATACTTTGTATCCTTCACCGTACAACTCTCCGAATTACGATCCCATCAAGGTATCGTACGGAGAGAATTACGCGCATAAAGGTGAGCTCACTCCGCGAAAAGACTCTGAGACGATTAATTATGGGAAAGAGGTAGTCGTGAAATATTCCAGAACACCGGATTCGTATGAAAGAAGCTCCTTTAGCGTTTTGACACCTGTCACACCTCAAAGGTAAGTTTCCAAATCTTTTTTTCTCCACAAACATCTTCCTTAAATCACTGTGTTGCGTATATCTGTTATTTGTTCGTGTTCACAGATATAAAATTTATGTCGTAATTCTGTATAAACTAAATTAAATTGCATGAATTAATTATTCAAATAAAATTCAATTGAAAATCTATATATCTATATATATATTTTAACAAATTATGAATCTTATATTTGAATAATCACAGTGATAATGGCTTTTTTAAAAATTAAGCCTGTAGTTTCTTAGTTTTTTAGTTATGATTGTACACGAGTTTCGAATAGTTCTTTAAATAGAAAATAAAAAATTGAATAAGATAAAAGAAACTTATGCTGATAAAAAAAATTTTTAAATAAAATTTAAATTTACCGTTAGTTATCGTATCTTTCACACATAATGAATCAATTGTTAAAAAAGTAACATACAAGAATAATTAATAATCAATAATTATTGATGGTCATTTGTTTTTCTTATATTCTCAAGTTATAATAAAAGCTTATAACAAAAGACATTAATTGAAATTTCACGAAAATTGATATAATAATTTTAATTAATTTTAAGGTATGAACCACAGCACGCGATAAATCAGACCATTTCTCCAGGAACGATGCTACACGAAGACAATTCCATGGAGTATCAGCCATCAGCCTATTGTTACGAAACACCACCTCAAGAACAAAAGTTTCAAATCCTCGAGAGCGGGAAACCGATGCAAATGGCTGTCGAACAACGAAGTAATTCTTGGGAACCTGTCACATCTGTACAGGTATATTTCAATGGAACGTTTGACATTTAATCGAGAAGTGTTTGCGATCTTATAGCGAAAAATTGAAGATACTAAAATATTAACTCGTATAAAAATATTTCGTTCTTTCGGAAGAAAAGAATTTTTATGGTGAATTGATTTCGAATTCGAATGATGAAAGACTAATTGAACTAGCATGTTTTTATAACACATATGGTTATTTTTGTAGAAACAAGTATCACCTACCAATAGTCCCCGAAGAGGAAGACGACGGTCCAGGGATATACCGCCATCGCCAAGCGTATTAAAACGTCGACGTTTGGCAGCGAACGCACGTGAAAGACGTCGAATGAACGGTCTGAATGATGCTTTCGATAAATTGCGCGAAGTTGTACCGAGTCTTGGAGCAGACCACAAACTTAGTAAATTCGAGACATTACAGATGGCGCAAACTTACATCGCGGCGTTGTGCGATCTTCTTCAGGAACACGATGGAAAGTGGCAGTGAATCAACGTAAGTTTATTTATTTAGGTTATACATTGTGAAATTAAAAAATACAATTGAATTCTAGATGAAAAAATTATGGTTTGTAGCCGAATGATGAATAGATATAACAAAGAAAGAGAAATATAAGGACTGATGAAAGGAAAATTACAATTATTATAATAAATAATATACTATAATATAGAAAATCTTTCGAAAATTAGGTATTTAAGTCTGTCATTTAATTTTTTACTTAATATGAATCGTGTGTAATATTTTGTTGATAAAAATTAATTTGCATGTAATTTGTACCATTCATTTATAAATTTATAATTATAAATTGTATACGATCAGACAGCTAATAATCCAAAGAAATGTTCGATAAGTTTATGAACTTGCATTAAAAACAATTAGATTGCCATTAAATAAAGGTTTTGATATTCGATATTATTTTTAATTTCGTATCGGTGCCATTATTATTAGTACAATATTTTAAATAGTATTTTTATATAAGTATTAGAAACTTTATATAACTGTATGAGCACATATAACGTATTACGAAATTAGAATAGAATTAATTATATACAAAGATGCTTTGTAAAGCAATTTTCTAATTGTAATAATACGTTTTGCTATTTCGAATTATTTTATATTATTTTATATTAAATTATCCGTTGGAAGTGTTAGTGATTTATGCATGTATTGTATATTTATGTATTTATTGTGTAGCTAGTCAAAAATATTTTGAAAAACAATTTCAAAATTTGTAAAGCTAGTAATTTTTCTAAACCGTCCATTGAATAGTATAGATATTATACGAAACCAAAGAAGACGATTATTAAACAATGCCATAAAGATTCAAAGATGTCGAATAACATCAAATAACAATTTATAAAATAAGTAATTTTATAAATACGAGTAACATTATGTCATTATTAAATAAATTGAATAAATGGGAAAAATTTATATCAAAATTATTGTAAATAAAGTATTTAATTGAAACGAAAGAATATTATTTCATCTTTAATATATATAATAATTTGCGTTGTTTCTTGACACAAAAAAATATGTTATATTTAATTAACCGGAAAAAGTGAGAAAATAACAAAAAAAGGAAAGAATTTGTGAGACAAATGTGATCGAGTGCAAACCTCGAATTTGGGCGTGGCTAAAAATGATCGAGTTTTCGAAATTGGTACCTCAGGTCAAAAAATTCATCCTTCTTTTTCACGCAGGATTATGATTTGAAGATACAAAACAATGCGATTCTCGTATTTTCCGTTGCATTTGTTACTACGTTTTAATCCGTTATCATAATAATAGCAATAACAATATAACATATAAATACAACAAATATATATATATATATCAATCTAATAATTAATTTCTATTAATTTCTATCCTCAAATTTCCACCTACACATCGTTTCTTCAATAACACGGCTCTCAAATATTTCGTATATTTCAAAATATAATAAAAAGTAATTTCGTTTCGTTCGAGGAAAGCTGCGACAAAAGGGTGGTTTCAGGGTTAAATTAGCGCATGGCCGACGATACTCTAGCAAAAATTACATCCTCATTACTAGAACGTGTTGTTCGATAACGAGCCGTAACCGGCCAAGTCTTGTGCTTGGCTCCCAAAAGGGAAGACGATTCGTTCCAGGCTGCGAGAACGAGCGAGCCATCGTGAATTTTGTGACACCTCGCTACCCTTATGGTGTCAAAGCCAGCACCCTCGACGGAATTACGATTCCAGCCACCTGACTCCGTGTCGAAAGATTTTGCCACCGCTCTCTTAGGATAGACCGCAAAACTCGTTAACCCTTTTCCACGATTAAAACGCTCGTTGACCGATCCGTAACGGAGGGATTTGTAGGAAAAATTTTTTAGCCTAGCTTCAGAGAAAATTACGCCGCCGAAATTCGTTTCGAAAACTCCCATGACGCCGTGTTTCTTCAAATTTATTGTGTTGACGAGGAGCATGGATTTTCCAGGAATCGAGGAAAGAAAGGAACAAATTTTGATGAATATTTTTGAGAGAAAGGATTTTTTGACTTTTTTTTATGATATTATATTCGAAATTTATTTTTATAGTATTTGTTAAGAAAAACAAACAATAATTTCCTCATAAAACACTATTGTCATAACAACATTGAATGTAGAACATATAGAATAAAAAAGGCGTTTGAAAAAATACTTTTTAATACTTTGAAAAGTAATATCGTCAAAAGATGAGATCAAACATGGCGTCGCCAAACGCATTTCCCAACTTTCACTGAAAGGGTAAGGAGAAACCCAGTCAATTTGATAGAAAGTAAAGCAGCACTAACACAACACACACAATGAATACTCCAATGGTTTTCTCTTCGAAAGAGGGGAGAAGAGAGTTTCCCCTTAGTGATCATGTTAGAAGTAAATATGCTTTTTTTTTTTAACCTGACGTTGTCAAGGTATTTATAATATTGTTTCTTTTTCAGCTTGTTTTTTGCAAGCATTTATTATTAGCTTAATTTCTTCTAACGTCATGATGACGAATTTATTTATGAGCACACCACTTTTTTGAGTGTGAAATAAAGAGAGAATCCTGGGCCAATGGTCACTGCCACTCGAAACCCAAAAACGATTCGCACACTCGACAAAGAACGACGTTTCATAAACTATATATATATATATAAAGCGATGATACATTTCGACGAAGCGTAGAAAACACACGCTGTGTACAGAGTGTTTGCTAGGCTAAGAGGAAAGAAGGGAAAAAGAGGAGGTTTATTGTTGTGGCTTCACAAATGTTGTTCATTGCGTATGGCGGCGCCACGGATCTCACCAATGCTTTCAGTTTGGAATCTTTATTATATACAAACTGGTATATGAACTGAACGCTAGCGAGAAACCAGTTACAATCTCTGCGACATCTGTGTAGAATGGAGTAAACTTTTACTGTGCAAGTTGGCCTACAGTTAGGCGCAATGATAAACTATCAACGTGACGTGTGCAAAAAAAATTAAAATTACGTAGTAAGTTAATATACATACAATATTTTGTAATAATTATGCAGATAAAAATTATTTCATCAATTGGACATTAAAAAAATTTCAATATTTTCAATATTTCAATATTTAATTAATATTTTTTGTTAAATAAAATATATCATTAGAGAAAAATTGTGCATTTATAGTAATATAACGTGTAAAATTAAAATTGAGATATCTTATCGCCTTTCAGGATATTTATAGTGTTCATATCTAATTTTTAAAATGAATTTTAACTTTTGTTTGAATCTAATTTGAATTCTAATGTTAAAGCTGTTATATTTGTCACACGGATTAATTTTACAATTTTATAGATTATGATTTCACAGCGTGTGTATCGATATAAAATTATCGTTCCATTCTTGTCAGTTTTCCACACCTAACCTTCTTATTTACCTAATATCTGTGGTGGCACATCGTGCGTTGAAAGCGTCGCCTAAATTACACTTCGATTAGGATGATGATCCTGAGGATTCATAATTTCCAGTTGTATTATATTGACCGCTTGTATTCTATGACCGCAGAAGCGTCAGAGTGTGGCGACAGAAAACGAGTAGGCGCCAAAAGAAAAAAGAATCACAACGAAATTATGGGATTCATAGGACATGAGCGAAAACCGAAACCAAGTGTAGTTATTACATTTTTAGAAAAAAATTAGGCCGCATTTTAACCAAAACGCAAATCTTTTCAATACAAGAAATCTCTTTCACACTTTTTCCGTTGATCGGTCTAACCCATGATTCTGACGCGTGGCGTCAGTTGTATGAAAATAAGAAACTCGAAATTTTGAATACATGATCGATTTAACCTTGATCGAATTCCCTATGTTTTATGATTAATGTATATCAATGAATACAGTAATGTATAATTAAAAATATATACGGAATTTTTATTTAAATTGTTTTATAAGTTTTTAACAATTTTTCGAAAGAAAAATATTCGTATTGTTATACAAAACCATTTTATTCAAATCTATAGATAACGAATAAAATAATAAAAAAAAAAAGAAAAAAAAGAAAATTAACAGAATAAAAAGACAGATGATAAAATAATAGAAAATTCCCTATGATGCAATGGCCGCTGATTGGTGAGCCAATCATGGAAGACATTTTCAACAAAAGTGATAACAGTAAGTAAGGTTAACAGACTTTTCTAGTTGAGGAAAATCCAAATATTTATATAGAGATATATTGATTAAAAACAACTATTATTATTAAATCATTAGATGCAGTGTTCAATTTCATTCGATTGTCGAACCATATGTTTTTATTGTTCGCATAAATTATTATCTCGATACCAATTTTTTCAGACTGCAATTTCTTACCGCTTGTCATTGAACACGTACCATCGTATTATCGACACGGCACGCGCTCTGTCCGAAATATGGCGAACAGATGATCTCGATGAATACCCCCAAAAACTGTAGGTGCATTCACATGAATATCAAATTTCACGAACAATCATGTCGATATCACTATTGGGAGATAAATAAGCTTTGTACATCGAACAAGTGTTTCGAACAGATCTGAACCAAGTCACGAATTTGTTTTGTTATTTTTTATAAACAAAATTAAAAACTACTTTAATAATAATTATGAATTTTAGAATAAATTATTTAAGAATGAATTGACAAAAATAGCTTTCAAGATTTATTCTAACATTTAGAATTACAATCTAAATAAAATGACAAATGATAATCTTGTTATACTTTATCCTTCACCCTCACATGATTTAACAATTAGAAATTTCCTGTTGACAAGGTCGCTCGTTACAAAACAATTTTTAACTATCGATTTCTAGTGACAACGTTCTACTAGGCAATTAGAAGATAATTAATCCCCTACATCACATTTATAGTAACCGGTTACCAAGCACGGTCACGCTTTGCTAGTCAGGATGTAACCGATGCAACAGATGACACCGGCCTTCCGATGCCACCACCCAAGCTATCACTATACCAAGAATACCGCATTCATTCTCCGCCCCATAGACTCGTGCCATGTGGCGATCCCCTCGTCCACGTGGAACCATCTTCCGACACGTCATCGGTATAGCTAATTTACGATCGTGCCGCACTTTGTCCCGAACAGATATGCCTGTCGACTTTGGTGAACCGAAAGGATCGACCGATCATTCGACCCTTGAGATTTTCGATATATTCAGGTTAGTTAAAAGTTGATTTCGTTAACGATTTTCGAAAACTATCATAGTATGAAATTTGTATTTTTTTTTTTTTCAAAATTGAAATTCTGATTATAGATATTTCGATCTTTTTATGGATAGAAGAAATTTTGAATTTTAAAATTAAATTTGAGAAAATGAAATTTTATCTAATTTAACTTGATTGAATAATAATAATTAATAGAACTTAATAGTATAGATAATGGAAATCTAATCTTGAACAAACATTAAACACTAGAAAATTCTCAAACAAGCAATAGTTACTTACCTCTATGGAATAAAACAAGCTTTCTCGAAGTATGCTGCATCCTGAGCGCATTTCAAGCATGCGCAAAACAAACGCTTTATCTCGTCGGGGTTGACTCGCATGTACCTAAAGCTGAGTATAGTACACGAACTGGATAATCAGTAAGACACAAGTCTTTATCCTCCCTTTGTCGAGCGGCACTTCGCACAATGTCGTTGAAAGAATTCTCGCGGCTACGAGCGCAACGATTTCTCGAGGTTCGACAGCAAATGTCCATTAGCAACGACGATTTTTAAGGTTAAACGACGATTTATGGCGCGGTGCCCGTTCTCTCACCTTCTTCCTTTTTTTTTCTTCCCTCATTCTGCTACCCTTAGTTTTGTTCTCGTTTATTCGACAATTAGTACGAAAGTTGCATTATCGGTGAGTTACAGCATTCGGGAACAGGTAAGTAAGTTCCGAGTTTTTCGCAACGAGACTTCCGAATCATCAGGTAACTTTACAACAATGTATTGCTGACAGCGCCACTCGTCATAAAACACGATCACTAAAAGATTTGATCAAGATTTGCTTTAGCTAAGTGAATTACTGTGTTCGTACATGCGGTTCAACTATTGGTTCTGATGCCGATTGCTGATTCGATCAATAATATTGGTCAATTGATTTATCGTTACACATTTAGTTTTGTCTTCCATTAGAATTATTAATCTTTGAACTAATATATCTATATAGTTGATTTAAAAAATTCAAATCAAAACTATAAACATAATTTGCTCTTTTTGTTTTTTTTATTTTCTCTTTTATTTCTCTCTATTTTGTAAATAATGTTTCTTCCAAGGAAACATTTTAAACATTTCTCAAAATGAATATACACAAGCAAAAGACATGAGCGTGATTCAACTTGAGAAAATAAAAAAGTGTCAAACCTTCGGTGTATCATTCCGCATATTCAATTGAAAAAAATTGAAAAAATGATATTTGCTTCCTCTACAATATAACGATAGGTTAGTCGTACAACGGCACGTATAATTTTACAACAGAAGTGCGGCTCGTGGCGCGAAATAACAACCGAGAGACGTATTATTGAAAGGGTCCAGTTATCTGTAAGGGGTAACAGAGGGAGTCCGCGGCTAGAAATGATCGTGTACGAATGCAAAAGCAAAGGGCAGCAGAGGCGAATCAGCGGGGCGTGACCGAGGGAGCACGGTAGCGCAATTGCGAGCCACGTGCCAGTCGCGTGGCACCAACCGACGATTGGGCCGCGATGCGATGGCACGTCGGGACGACGACGGCCCGACGGGACGCCGGGACGCCGCTCACTATCTCGTAATGTCCTATTCCGGTGTGTCATGTGCGAGAGGATCGTTGGGCCCAGCGGAGCACGACGGCACGCGACCACGGAAACTTCTTCTTTCTCTCTTTCCCTTTCTCTTCTTCGTTCGAGCTCGAGCGTTGTTTGTTTGATTCGAACAGCTTGAACGTAAGACAGTAATCACCGCTTGTATAAAGGTAAATATTTACATATCCGTGCAATATAGAAATGCTCATGTTTTACGAGGAAGGTAAGACTTGAAATAATTGATAAAATAATAATTTTAAAAAAATTTAAAGATCAGAAATTTATCGAAGGTTTGATATTAGCGATATATGAACTCGTATATTATTAATATGTTAGAAATACTGTTTGTTATGTCTTTGTTTGGTATTATTAAGCAAAATTATGTTTGATGACAAATAGTTAACATATCATGACTTTTCAAAATTATATATCCGTTGTTCTTCATTTAGGATTTATCGCTGGTAACGGGAAGATAATGACTGTATGATTATCTTAAGTATCATCCACTGTTTCGTTCCGTCTTCCGTATTTTCATCACTATCAAGCTATCGTTACAAGATACGCAATTTACATTCTTCACACTCTGTAACATTTTATAAATGCAAACGCTTACGTAAAAACAATAACTAGCGTAAGAATATAAATTGATTTTTTTTTATCTCCTTTTTACATAATAGTTTATGTAAAATGTTTACACATTCAATATTAAATTTCAAACGTATATATTTCATATTCAATTCGCATAAGAATTTATATTTAAATTTAAAAATGTATTCTATTATTAAAATAATGACATTTAGAGTCATCTACCGGAATATCTTAGTACTCTCAAATATTGATTGCGCAATTAATTTCTGCGCATAATTACTAATAATTTTAATATTCTTTTTTTCATATATATCACGATTTGTATTATTTATATTATTTTATAAAAGATAAATGATATGCATCATTCTTTTGCTATCTTCATTAAGCTTTCAAATTCGGATATAATTTATTTTATAACTTTATAAACATTTATTTTTTAAATATTTAATAATTAGATTTCTGCTAAAAAGTTAGAGATTAAGTTAAAGAAAGTTAAGTTAAAGAAAATTTAATGTAGAAATCGAATCATATTTATATTAATATTTATCTTCTTGAATTTTTACATTAAAAAAAGTATTTTTATCTGGATTATGTTTAAGATTGGTTTAAATATCTATAAATTTCTAAAAGAATAATTATATGAAATATACGAATAATCTTTTCAGTGAAATTTCTACAGTAACGTCTATTCAAAGTAATTTCATTCGATATGATATATATATAAGGAATTATAATTATAAAAACTTTGACATTGATGCTATAATTTAGTAATAAATCATAATTAATAGGATAATAATTGAAAATCTATGCAGAAAGGAGAATATAATATTTTTAAGCCATTCTAACGGTAAGTGAGATCAAAAGGCTGAATATAAAGCGGATATTAACGTGAAATGAGCACAAGTGCATGATTGTTCTACAAAAATATCTTATGACTAAAGTATACAAGCGTGATTACAAACGAACCAACAGATGAGCTCATAGAACGGCTAATCTCGTGTAACGGTATTGTTTCTTTTGAGTGTAAAGTTTGAAATTAATGACGTTTGATGAGGAATCGTTTATTTTTAATGAGAAAGTTTGAACTGAAGTTACTTTCAATAATAAACAACAATGGAAGTATTAAAAAAACAAAAAATATTAGGTTAGGTTAGCTATTTAAAAGTAACAAGGTGCTAAAAGCGACATTTGACTTCTATCCGACATGCAACCAAGGAACACGATTTAATTCGAACAATTTGATGTACGACTATCATGTAACCGTTGTGTACTCATGGGTAACGATCCGTGCAAACAAGCCAAAAGAGAACACCGTCGATAGAAATATCGCACTGTAAGCACGTGAATTCCAATGAGCCCGATGCATTTCGACCGTTACGCTCGAGACGGCTGCTATTTGCAACTAATCTACGAAATCTCCCGCCAAAACGGAATATTCTCTTCCAACCATAACGTAATTCGTTTTCACAAACATATCTTTCAAGTGGAATCATTTTCATTCTATTTGACGCGAATGAAACCCAATTTTCGATTGATTGTTTAACCTGCACGAAAGACAGATCAATTTCGATTTAATACATAGCCCTGACTAATGAGTTATAAATTGGCCTGACTCACCCCACGTGAATGCTGTCACGCTTCATCGCCAATCAATTTTCGGTAACACGATCACGCGATCAATGATCCACAATCTCTCCTTATGTTCCTTATTATATTCTATCACCAACGATAAAAGTAATAATTATATTTTGCAATATTCTCGATCTATTATTAAAATTTATTATATTGCTCGAGATAAATCGAGATACTTTTGAAAAATCAAGAGCAAAAAAGTTGTTCTACGAAATATATTATATCAAGACTTATTTATTAAGTTATGAGCAATTGAAATTTATAAGATGGAAGCATTCTTACTTTATCTTACTTACTAAATAAATAATCTAATAAATAAACCTCAATTGACACGATATGTTTTTATTTCAACTTTTTTGTTTGTTTTGATCTCTAGAATTGATTTTCCATGACATATATTGAAACTAGCAGAATGATAAATCATTTAAAAATTTTTTATAGCGAACTATTTTTTATAAATATTTGTAACATTAATCGATAATGTAATAAAAATGTATAATAAAAATGTAAAATTTTTATGTATGTATATATTCTGTTATAAATACTGATCATTATCCGGATCAGTTTTTTTCCTTATTATTATGCCATTTTTAATCATTATAAAAAGAATAATGGATAAATGTCGAATTTTATTATAATTGTTATAAAAATTAGCGTTAGAAGTACTGATAACAAAATCATTTTTATTTATCAACCATCGATCGCTCTAATTAATCTGTCTGCCATCTTCACACGTCGTTAAGCACACCTTGCCTGCAATTATACTACTTATACGAAATTATCCTCGACCTGGCACGCTTCTTACGTTATATGCTATTTATCTATGCACGCACGTTTCGCAAATTTTATACCAATTTGATGTTGAATTAATACCATCGTAAGAGATCATAAGAAATGTTAATTTCACGTTTTAATTTTTGCCCAATTGAAAAGTATATAAAATTATTACTTCCGTGTCTTAATTAATACTTGTTATCTTTAAATATTATAATATTAAATATCTATTTATTAAATATGACATGTGTTTCTGATTTGTGTATATTATTATGTATATTAGTCATTTTCAAAATATCGTATTCTTGGAAAAATGGAATACGAAATAAAAAAAAAAGAAGAAATTTTATTTCTTCAATTTTATTATATAATTCCTCAAATTTGAAACGATGAAATAAAGATTCATCGATTCGATAATTATTAAATCAAAAGAATGATTTTGTAAAGAATCTTTCATTCTTCTAAATCACAAATCACAAATGGATCTGTAGCAAGATCTTTGATTCTCGTGCAGTGTTCAACGTGTTAAAAGCTGATTACCCACACTTTGATATTTCCACGGTACGATATTATACCTGTAACATTGTCAGACATGAGGATGACGAATCAGTGACGAGTGGTAATAGCGAAAGAAAAACGGGCATCCGTTGTTTCGAGGCTTGATCATGGTAATGATCACGGAGGGATATAAATTAAAGAAAGTAGCGTGTTGCCTGAAGGCCTCACCGTATCCTGCAGAATGGTCAAGATGACGAGGCAACCGTCAGACCTCGTACCCACTTCCTAGGTGGCGATGTGCCCGATGCACCTGGTCACCCGTTATCCCAGGATAACGTCATTGCTCCTATGATTCTCCTATTAATCCGTCTCTCTTCCTTATTTCCCCCTTTCTCCTTGTCCTCGATTTATCTCTGAAAAACATTTAGAAATGATACACGAACGATTATGCCGTACTTTCGTGTTGATCGAACCGATAGATCTTTCGAATATGCTGAGTATGAATCCGCATACGTATAGAGAAATCATATCCGTCAAGGATATTTTCGCTTTTTCTCTTTCAATTCAAAAATTTTAGGTTATGTCATTGGTAGATAGATTCGTGTACAAATATATATATTTCTTTATTTTTTTTTTTTTCGTTTGCATATTCGACACGTTCTTGAATCCTCGATCAACACATTGTAAACTATCAATATTTTTATCTTTTGTCTTATTGCTAATACATAATAATATATGTTAAATTTGTTCTGTCACATATCCTTCTTTTAATTATCACATTACTCAACATTTTTATATTATAGGTTACTGCAACAATTAAACGATATAATGATAATACACATCTTTTCTAGCTTAATATTTTAACGATAAATGTCTAGAGATACGCAGAAATTATATCCGTTAAAAATATTTTCCCTTCCTTTTAACATTTTAGGTTATATCAATAGTATATTGCAGTTTCATATACAAATATATATATTTTTCTATTTTTTTTTCGTTACATATTTCTCGTTCTAGCACATTATGAACTATCAATATTCTTTTGTCTTATTGCTAATTGAAATATATGCTAAATTTGTTCTTCTACATATTCTATCTTTCACTCGTCACGAATACTGAACTCATCATACATCCTTATACTATAGCTTACTGCAATAATTAAACGATATAATGACAATAGATATTTTTTTAGTTAATATTTCAATGATAAATGTTTAAAGATACGTACGAAAAAATTTATTAAGGATATTTTTTTTCCTTTTCCTTTTTCGACAATTCAAATTTTAGGTTATATCAGTAGTATACTGCAGATATATATATATTTTTCTTTTTTTGTTATGTATTCGATACACTCTCAAGTCTTCGATCCAGCACATTGTAAACTATCAATACTCTTTTGTCTTATTGCTAACACATAAAGCGAAATATACGCTGAATTCATTCTTCATGCCATCCTTTTATCTCTCATGGATATACACTTATACATATATTCTTATACTAACTCCTGCAATAATTAAACGATACAATGATAGTATACATCTTCTCTAACTTAACGTTTCAACTATGGAACCTCGTGATCGTGTTGAAAACATTACGGGGAAAGTCGTTCGTGAACGTTTGAACTTTGGTTTCACTTATCTCTCGTCATTTCTCCCGTATCATCGTCCAAGAGGCTTCGAGCGAATGACGATTTGTCTCTTTGAAGACGAACAGACTGCGAATAGATCATCCGCCTCGTACAATTTCGAAGAGATATCGATATGTCCAGGAGATATCGTTACTTCGATACCCGGATACGTAACTCTTTCCAAACAGATTACGTCCAGTTGAATTTCACTTCGACCAAGTGGAAAAATTACCATCACTATGCTCGGTTAATTATCCTTGTTTGTATGGAAAGAAAGCGCGAGGATACACTTACGGATCTTTGTGAATGTTAACAATCCTTTGAAATCTAATTCACTCTTCTGTTCTCTTCAACTGCCTGTTTTCGTTTTTGTGAAATCTAGTTTCTGTTCGATATATTTCTTCTAGAAAAAAAACATGCGTTGTTGTTGTTGTGGATATTTATAAAAATATTTCCATAATGGGACATTTAATTCAGTATAATCAATATTATTCGCCTATTTCATTTATACTTCATACAATATCAATGCTAATTGTTCATTCGTTGATTCACACGTAGATTTAGCTTTCAACATTTCTTTGATTCATTAAGTAGTTTAGACACGTATAGTTATTCGTTGTATACACACGTTGTAAATATTCATTGTAATCATTGCTGAATCGTTTATTTATAATTATCATCAATACGCAACACGCGTGTGCAATAGAGCTAATTATTTATTTTCAAGCGAATCCTAACTTGCTCTTCGTAATTCATTCGAATTCATTCATCGTTGATGAAAATTTATCGATTAATTTATCGGTTAATTAACCATTATTATGACAATATTTCTCTCGTAAAAATTTTTCGAATAATCGTAGTCGTACACACGCACGAATTTGTTCACGCATCGAACAGGAAATCACACTTGTCTACGATTTACACTTGTATCAACATCTCCACACGTGATAACCGCGCCAAGGATAGTTTGCAAGCATGACGAAGCTTCGCGGGAGCCGGAAAATCGTTAGCTAGAGTATTCTGAAGTCAATGAGACCCGAGTATCTTTACAGACAAGCGTCATCATGTCGAGAAGATTTCCTTCAACGAGGTCTCGTTACGTTAAGAAAACGTTGTAGAAGAAAAAGTAATCGTTTCAGGGTAGAAATTGTGGAGGAAACGCGTATATGCCTACAATAAAACGTATAACATTCGAGCGATAAACATAAATTCCTATTTGAAATTGAAAAATTTGTGTAAAGAATAATTCTTATTTTTTCGTTGATGTCTCTGAGTATCAAGGAATTCTCAACGCTTTCTTATATTACATAATCGATCAAAGTCTTACTTTTTGTCTATAAATATATTATAATCATATAATAAACGTTACATCGTATTAGCAATTATTATTCTCATTACTTTTGGCATTTAGTTAATGTATGTATACACTAGAGGGTACCACATTCAATATTTGTCGAATAAAAGTGGGGATACGATTTAAAATATTCATTACGCAACTCTTCTTTACCTACGTGCTAACCTATGCTTTCCTTAATGGCAACTGGGAAATTACGTTATATTTACTAATTATGAGTTATAAACGTCCTAAGAAATAAACAAAGAGTATGTGAATCTTCGAATTTTATTGATCAATTACCAAATTATTACCGTTTTTAATTATACCGTAGTTATCTGGAACGACTAAAAAGTAACTGTACAATGTACTCCTGGAAGACTATCCGTATTGATGTTAATGAAACGGTACACTCTAAACATCATCGTGTTTCATCATTATTTTTACGAGTGTAAACGATGCCATAATGAATTCGAGAAGAATTATCGTATCCCTGAGTTATATCTTTCAAATGAGTTCTACGCTTTTTATCGACAAATTATACATTTTTTTTTTTTTCAAATTTTGATCAACGTCTCAATTTTTTTTTTTTTTTTATTTAAATTGATACACAAATGAGAGAGTTTTGCTTTTTCTTTTCGATTATAATTTTAAGCTTGAATCACAGATCGTATTCATCGGGATAATGGTAAAACGGTAGTATCGTCTACTCTCGCGTGGCTTTTTCAAACTCCAATCACTGATACGAACCGTTATGTAGAAATTAATGGATGTCTTCTCCCTGCATAAAGCATTAAACAAGCCGACCTCGTTGCGACTAAATTTATCATTGTTGCAATTTATCCATCAACCGTGAAATTAATAATTACCACGGAAATTATGCTTTCACTGGGTCAGCTTGAAAAGTTCATACGCGATATATCTGTTTAAATCTGTTCAACATTGTACTTATAATAATAACTAATAATCGACAAATTTTATCACGTTTTATCGATGTTATAAATAAATTTCTAAGAAAATTTCAATCATACAAATAAGAAATCTCAATTCTTAAACATTATCTATTATTAATTACCATAACACGAGATATTCCTATAAATTATTTCTTCGTGGTCACTTTCACCTCGTATAAATCTAATATAAAGAGAAACAAAGAATTCATTTACGGTGTCATATAGCATGATACTTGGTAGATGTAAATTCGAAAAAGTAGCTAACGCCCACAATCGTCTATTTTTCCTACGATTAACGAGCTGTTGGTGGAAAAAAGGGCAGAAATTGGCAGGGCCCGCATCGTTTTGCGCCTTTGGCGCAGCTCAAAAACTCTGTGGCTAAACCTGTAATTAGGACACCTCGGTGTGATTCTAATTAGGGGCCTCGGTTTTGCCATAAATCTCCGCCAGTTATGGGAGTCATGTTTGAACGAACCCCGTAAGGAATTGGATCCTTAAATCATCTGGAAAATCGAATCCTCGTTGGAATCGGTAAGAGAGTCGGTAAAGCTTATCTTTGTCTCATTTATTTATCAATCGAATTATTCAGTTTTTTTTATATATTTTATATTATACCTTTTTTTCACACAAAAAAAAGACAAAATATTTTTTATTTAATTTACGAAGTAAATTATTTGGATTTTTTTTACAATTACATCTTATATCATCTCTACAATATGGATAGCTAATATATCATCACAAAATCCTAACCTAATCTAACACGTGAATCCATTGATCATTTGCGGACATCGAAACGATATCTGCGTTATATTTATTTACCACTTTTAATTATTAATTATATTTATTATATATTTATTATACTTTATAATTATAATTATACTTTTATTATTAATTATATCGATTCGACAAATCCTTTGATAAAGAATAAAAATCGACGGTAAAATCAATTGGCACACACGATCTAATGCAACAAAGTACAATGTTTATACATTGGCTTGGTACATTCACTGATCAAACGTGTAAAGTTAGTATTAATTCTTGAATAAACACCGACTTCACGTTTCAAATCCAATTAACGTTGATCGATTCCCGAACGTGTAACAGGAAGATGTGCTCGAAGTGGATGTATACGCATCGAATCACGAATCATTACGTTGAAAATCAGCCTCGTCGAACTGTAACTGTGCCGCGGTCAACTAATAATCAATTCGTGCCCTTCAACGGTCGCAATAAATTTATTAACGGCGGAGTCGGCCGACAGAACGATCGTTCCTCGCCATTATGGATCGATGTGTGCGCAAGCGTGACAAACATCGAGAGGATTGGATCTCGATGTATGGCGAGTTGATTGCATTTGCATACATCCATTACGCGAACATTCGGAAAAATGGGATTTCTTTTGAAGATTGGATGCGTGGCTTCCTGCGTATCTTTCGCTGGATACACAGTTACAACGTAGCGACGCGATTTATTCGTGTTTTTTTTTTTCATCCTCGCTTACGCCACTCGTGATCGAAGACTTCGATGTTCAACTTAGATGTCATAAATCACGCGGTAGCTTGATTTCAAGCTAGGTGAAATGATTGGTTAAATAAAATTATTCGAACCAAAGAGAGAGAGAAAGAGAGAGAGAGAGAGAAGAATTTGTCGTTATATTGAAAATCATATCGTTGTTAGGTTAGGTTACAGAAGAAAGAAGCATCGGGATAAGTGAAAAAGGATTGGAGGTATGTTGCTTTCGCTATTACTCGTGCATAGATGTGTAAACGATATATATGTTTCGTGCAAAAATAATTGTTTGCTTATTAAATTTATAACATGTATTTTCTAACAGAAATCATTATCTCTGTATTCTTATATGTATAATTATATTTTTTTTTAAATATATATATTTGTTTATATCAATTAAATTCACCGTGTCATTTCAAATTTTATCTTATGACTATTCTTTTTTTCTCGATTGACGAAAATTGTATAAATAACCTGGATTTGGTGAACTTATTGAATAACACTAACTAAAAAAGTTAAAAACAATATTGTAATTCGTCTCGAAATTACCTCGTATTATTCAACGGACCATTATCTCGTTTACGCGAGTTAGGCGATGAACGATGCATAGTCGAAGCACTATTTTCTCCATCTATTAATTTTCGTATTTTTTTTTTTTTTTAATTCACAATCGAAGAGGGATAAGTCGAAGCATCGAAAAGAGGTTTCACGAGCAGGACGTTGTTTCGTCGGTATTATTACGCCACACAAAATTGGTCAATCACAACGAATACAAGTAATTTACGTCAAATGAACCTCACCAGGAAACTGTCCCGACTTGGAGCGTGACCGTTGTACGATCTATCGATCCTGGTATTAACCGAGGGATCCATTATGTTGCAGCCTCACCATCTATGCAAAAAGAATCTCGTGTATCGTAAAAGCTTATTACATGTGCATCTACGTTTACTTTTTAACGTGAAAGTATTTTATGAAATAATCGTACATCTATAAATCATCGCCTATTATATTGAAATTTTTTTTTTTTTTCATTTTTATTTATAGAATCTCTATTTTTGAGAAACGAGTATGGAATCAAGATTTTGTATAAGAAAAAGGAAATGGTTCTCGAATCGAAGTCAATATATTTATTTGATTTCATTTACATGCAAGGTGAGCGATAAGAATAAAATCGTTAAAAATAAAATTTTTTTATTTTTATTAATTATTTTATTGATATTTATATTAGATATAAGGATATCATTACGAATATTTGCATATTTAAATAATTAAATTTTCTTTAACATTTTTCCAGCAGGTTAAATGAAGCTAACTCCAAGATTTATAAAAAACATATCATTGAATTTCCCTTTTCGTCACGCAAAAAACAAGATTCGTTCGCTGGCGAGAGAATAAACAATACGACAAAAAATTGTAGAGATTCTTTAGTTAGAAGAAAAAAAAAAGAAGAAAAGAGAAAAATAATTCTCGAGAAGCTTACTGCCGACGACAGTACCCTTTTACAAATTAATGCGCGCTCGTGGGCGTAGACCCCGCCACATCTCGTGCACACGCACACGTTTTTCGTGATGGGTCGGGCACGATGGGGAGGAATCGGCTCATTTGTTGCGTATTAGCGGAGGATAATTAGGTTTCTCGAAGCTGCCGCCTTTTGCGAACCAAGCGACTTCAAGAGTCTTCCGAAAAACGAGAAGAGGGAAACGAATGAGGTACGCCTACCCCTGGAAATTTTCGTCGTGAGAAGGAAAATCTCGAAAATCACCGGTTGCCGGCCGAAAATTAATCGATTCCGATGATTCTACCATTTTCCTTGTCGATACAATAAAAAAAACAAACAAGTTCGACTTATAATTGCATTGTCTATCCTCATTGAACAAATACTTGTTGTTACATTGAAAATAAAAAGAGAATAATTGTTAAATAAACATATATTAATAATTGTATTGTTGTCAGAATAATGAAATAGAAGTTGAATGATTATTTGTTGTTACATAAAAATAAAAAGAGAATAATTGTTGGATAAACATATTTATAATTGTATTGTATTGTTATATTATATAATTGTATTGTTATCGAGATAATAAGAAGTTGAATGAATATTTGTTATGTTAAAAATAAAAAGAGAATAATTTTTAGATGAACATATTTATAATTGTATTGTTGTCAGGATAATGAGACAGAAGTTGAATGAATACTTGTTACATTAAAAATGAAAAGAGAATAAACATATTTATAATTGTATTGTTATCAGGCTAATAAGACAGAAGTTGAATGATTACTTGTTGTTACATTAAAAATAAAAAGAGAATAATTGTTGGATAAACATATTTATAACTGTATTGTTATCAGAAATTGAATGAAGTTGTTACATTATAAATAAAAAGAGAATAATTTTTGGTTGAACATATATAATTGTATTGTCAAATTAATGAGACAGAAGTTGAATGAATACTTGTTATATTAAAAATGAAAAGAGAATAATTTTTAGATGAACATATTTTTAATTGTATTGTTGTTAGACTAATAAGACAGAAGTTGAATGAATACTTGTTGTTATATTAAAAATAAAAAGAGAATAATTGTTGAATAAACATATTTAGATTGTATTGTTGTCAGGATAATGAGACAGAAGTTGAATGAATACTTGTTACATTAAAAATGAAAAGAGAATAATTTTGGATAAACATATTTTAATTGTATTATTTTCAGGCTAATAAGACAGAAGTTGAATGAATACTTGTTGTTACATTAAAAATAAAAAGAGAATAATTGTTGGATAAACATATTTATAATTGTATTGTTATCAGAAGTTGAATGAATACTTGTTGTTACATTAAAAATAAAAAGAGAATAATTGTTGAATAAACATATTTAGATTGTATTGTTATCAGGATAATGAGACAGGAGTTGAATGAATAATTGTTACATTAAAAATGAAAAGAAAATAATTTTTGGATGAACATATTTATAATTGTTGTCAGTGATGAGACAGAAGATAACTTTGCAATTTTTACAAAGAACATTGATCTAGAATGAAGATTTTACAAATTAGACGTTAAGGATCGTTGGAATGCTTTACAAAACTTGTCAACTTCTTTCCAATCCCCTTTTTCTTTTTCTTCCTTCTCCTCGACGTATTCTACGACACTTTAAATACAGGGAGGTCTGAAAAGTGTGGACAAATTTGACTGGTTTACGAGTCAAGCTATTCCATCTACATTCTTTCTACCTTTTCCCTTCAACTTTCTTCTCTTTTTTTTTCACAGATACTTAATCCAGAATAACATATGAATGAAAATTGAAGAAATGAAATTGCTCATAACCTTTATACAAAGAAAAACGCTTTTGCGAAACAAAAGCTGTTCCAACATCCTCGAAGACAGATTTACGCCTTTTATTAACCAATCTTATATCACATTATTTTTACCAATGTAAATGTATAGATTAATCTTCGAGTCATTTTTGCCTTTTCATTTAGAATAGCGACAATATGTATATTTGAGAGAAAGGTTAGAAAATACATGAAAATATATGTATTTCTTTATTTTTGCCCACATATTTCTTCCATGTTAATCGATATTAAAGGCTTTACGAATTTCTTGAATTCATCTAATGGACACATCGTATCGCAATTAGGGAATTCAAGAACTCGAATATTATCCTTATTTTTATAAAGCACCTGTGAAAAATAATGATAACATTAAATCAAATTGTAAAAATAATATGAATAATAATAAACAGAAATTAATTTTGAAAAAAGTTTTGATTTTATGTGATTTTTTTAAATCATTTTTATCAATCATCTTTCAATTTCAAAAATAATATCAATTTATTTTCTTATAGAAAGTACGTTTTTACCTGAACGTAATATTCATTATCGTCTTCGTGTAATTCAAACATCAAAATATTACCATAGTAAGGAATTTCATTGTCGAAATTATCCAATGCGGAAAGTATACACGCGATATTTGGATCATGTGCCGCGTACATAAACGCTTTTCGCGTATCCTTTTTGCTGATGTGATCATTAACATGATTCAACCATTCGCGAATCCATATTCCTGTTCGAACAAAACGATTATTAATAATTATTAATAAATCGACGAAATCGATGAATTATATTAATATTTTGAATTTTTTATTATCAATAAAAATAGGAAAAAAATGACAATGAAATTTAACTTACCAGCTGATATTTGCTTCGATTCTAGAGTACGAGTACGAATCAAAATATCGTATACAGCTAATTCTTCAAGTTTCTCGGGAAAAACTGATCTCGTCCATTCTGGTAATTCTAAACCAATATTTCTCTAAAATTAAAAATTATTTCTATTTACCTATTTTCTACATACATAAGGTAAAAAAGTATGCAATTATTTTTAATCTTCTTCAATTAATAATTTTAAAAGTTGAAAATATACCTGATCGAATAAATATTGATACAATAAAAACACTGTTGATTGCGTGATATTACCACCTGTATGCTCGGACAGATATTTATAAACATCTTTATTGTCTTTTTCAAATTGTATCACGTCTTCGTCCGTTTCCTCCACCATTTTTCTCAACGTATCCAATCTTGGGGAAAATTGAGTGTTGTAAAGGCAGTCCACGATAATTGGCATTGTCCATACAGGTATAGGCTGCCAATTCAAATCCGGATTCCACCTAAAATGAATTTTCATGAAATTACAACTTGTTGATTCAATTTAGAAGAAAAAACCTTTGTATTTTGGAAGGTGGATACAGTCCAGCTGCCACGAGTTGTCCACTCATTACAGTTCTATCTGCTTGATCCGAGCGAAACCAAATATTCTCTTTCGTGTAAACTTCTCCCAAGAAATCTTCGTACCTTTCTCGAAAGAATTGGCCAACTTTGTACATGGCCATCTTACCAATCTACGTTGATTAAAATTCATCAATGTTACTGTAATCGAATTCATTTCTTTTCACGTATAAAATGATTTTATGTGAATATAAAATGACATTATACTTACATTTGTTAAACCTCCTCGTCCCGCCGGCTCGTAAGTAGAATTGATGTAAGGATCGTTAAGATAAAAATCGACGCTCGACGGCATTTTGTTTCCATGCCTGAATATCGTCTGCACAAGTTTCAGTTCCGCCATTGACGCTCGACAACAAAGGAGGCAAATGACGAATCTCAAAGTCCACGCGGTATCCATCGTTTTCTAAAAGTATATCGAAATGTAATTTCACGAATAAATTCGTCGTGCATAGATTTATTCAATTCGTTCAATTTTTATTAAATAAATAAACGTTACTCGTATCGTATTAATTGTATTGCAAAATCTTATCGTGTATTTATATAGTAGATGAAACTACGAGGAATTGGTGTTTTGAACACACGAAAAAGAATTCAATGTGAACGCAGTTTTATATATAGGGGGACAATTTATCTGACTATACGATAAAAGGCTATCGAGAAACGTCACAACGATCGAATAATCTTCGTTTCATTTTTTTTCCTTTTTTTTTTTTTTGTCAAAAAATAATCCGAAAAACAAATTCCGCGTAGAAAATCTACTACACACATTTGTTGCATATACACACACGCGTTGAACTTATGTTTTATGCATGACGACGTGATAATTATTTCTCTCTGCTTCAATAGTTTCGATAATGTTTGAGTAATGATTTTGGAAAACACGTCACATATAATTTTTTCTAAGCTTCGTTGTTATTCCAATTAGAAGAAGATGCACCATTTATCTTACAAACAATGTCATTCACTCGTAATTTATCAAAAAGTTTTTAAATTATCTCCTTTAAAAATATTTAAAAAAATTTTCAAGACCCCCTCGATTCGATTAAAAAATTATCGTTTCAATTTTTGGCGATAATTCGATAAGTGGAATCGCGTCGGGCGAAGGATGAAAAGAAAGGAAAAAAAAGAGAGAGAGAGAAAGAAAAAATGGGGCGGTTGCCGCGTCTGAAGCGCGGCAGGAACGCGGCGCCTCGTGTTCTCTTCCCTCGTCTCTCCGCTCCGCGGCCGCGATCGGAGAGCCCCCAGCGGACAAGAAGGACGAAGGAAGGCGAGGGGCGTGTCCGGTCGCGCGGCTTCTACAAAGAGATGCCCACTTCCCTGTCGACCCCTTCCACGCTCCTCAACGGGGATCCCTTCCACGTGGGCCCCGCCGTCCCCCCCACCACCGGGCCCTAAGAAAAGCGGGCAGCATGGTCCAGGCCACGAGATGCCAGGCTTCTAAAGTCAGTTTACGCAACGCTTCCGTACGCGAATCATATAACTCTCCTATACTCTCCACGAACATGTTAACGTCTTTCCAAATTTTCCTCTAAGTTTTTTTTCCCCACCCTCCTTTTCCTTCTTATCACTTTTTCCGGACGAAATGACGGAACTCGTTTGATCGACAAAGCGGAGGAACGAAGCGATAATTCCTCCTCCTCCTTCTCCTCGAGGGAGAGAGAGAGTGAGAAATCGAGTAGCAGTGTATTATTATGCGTATATAGATATATAAATTTATATATATATATATATATATATTTTATATATATATACATATATATCGGGAAGGAGAGAGAGAGAGAAGAGAGAGAGAGAGATAGAGCGAGAGCGAGAGAATGACCACTTACGCCAGCTTCCAGCAATACGAGGTGTTGGATTCGGAGGGTTACGGGTCGGCGAGTAGCCCGGAATCGAATCCGCGTAGCTGGGCCCAGCAGGAGATATACCCTCAACCGCCGAGATCTAGGGGTAGCAGTTGCGGGAGCGTGAGCTCGGTTGATTGTCAGAATCGCGAGTACCAGGAGATCGGCGCGGCGAACGCCACTTTCCGCTTGGCCGCCACCCCCGCTTCCTTCAACCTCGCCGAGTTCTACGAGTCCTCGTACTATCAACAACAAGCTTGCCGGAACGAGCATCACCGCCATCACCATCATAATAATCATCATCATCATCATCATCATCATCATCATCATCATCATCGTGATCACGAAATCGGACACTCCTCGAGTGTCGGATGCAACTCGAGGACGACGATGAGGGAGAAGAGCGAGTGCGCGAACGTTTACGACGGGTGTGTGACCGTGGCCCGTGCGGATTTCTCCATCATCAGTCAGGATGGTAAACAGAACGCCCCGCCAAAAATGGACCAGCAACACCATCATCATCATCAGCAGCAGCGCAATACAGATAGTTTGGGCGCGAACGACAGGTGCGATTTCGTCGGGCAGAGCGAGGAGAGCTTCTTCGGTATCCCGAAAGGTGATGGTTTTTTGGCTAGGAATAATAGCGGGGAGAACCCTTATGGGCAGAGGGGCGACATCGTTTATTTGGGTGGCACGTACACCCATGTGCAGAGGAACGAGGGCTACGTTGTCGAGCAGGGCGAGGGGGAGGGGAAGCGCGACACGGCCAGGTATCAGACGAAGATCGAATACACGTCCGGTGAAAAGACGAGGGAGAGCGTGCATCACAACAGGATGAAAAACGGGACGACGCCTGGTATAGAGGTGTTGAGGAAGAGACGGCTGGCCGCGAACGCGCGGGAAAGAAGAAGGATGAACAGTCTGAACGACGCGTTCGATAGGCTGAGGGACGTGGTGCCTAGTTTGGGAAACGACAGAAAGCTGAGCAAGTTCGAGACTCTGCAAATGGCACAGACCTATATCGCGGCGTTGTACGAGTTGCTGCAAAGGGAGTGAACATTTTGCGAACAAAACGTGCGATTAACCGATCCAGCGATCGTTTCTATATCCGATAAATTTGCTCGATGAAATGACGTACAAGTGGATAATAATTTACGTTGGACCGATCGAAGAGGAACGATGTCGCGATGCTTGATCGACGTTGAAAGGTAAACGACGAAACGTTGAAGGGAAAAGTTCGAGAAAATCGGCGAGAATCGTTCTCGTTCCCGTCCGTTAGTTTAATTAGCGATAATTGGTGCGCGCAAACACGTCGCTTATGCTTTTCCCTCCGCGTGGCCTTGTTGCCGGATTCCAGGATATTTTTCGATAAATCGAGTCGTGATTGATACGCGAAACGAACAGTCCGACGTAGCTTCAGTGTTCAACCTTTTTTTTTTTTTTCTATATAAAACGATAAAAAATGAAAGAAATCGAAATTAAACGAACATCTCGCAATCAACAGATTGAGGATCGCTGTTTTGAGCGAATATCGAAAACGTATATACGTGGTTATCGCGTGTTTTAGTCGTAGGATTCGTGTAAATATTTGATTAGACGCGATTAAGTTATTGTGACGTTGTTTAGGTAATTGTGTACATATATGTAAAGATAGGGGATCTCTCGATCGCGATGATCGATCCGTGTGACGGTGAAAAAAAAAGTAAAGCTATTTCTTCTCTGAAAGCAGCAGAGAAAAGAATTATGTTTCTCGTTTTTGGCTTGAGAAAAAACAGCTTTGCGATGATTCTATGCGAGATACGCGACGAGCATACTTTCTTTTCTTTTCTCTTCTTGGTGGGATGATTTTGATTTTATCTCCGGTTAAAAGAATCGATCGATATAATTTTTGCGAAAGGAAATTTATCGTGATGATAAATAATAACACGAGTATCTCGTCGATTAAAGTTCTCGAGATGAACCAAAGAATCCGTTAAACAGGTTAAGGAAAAAAGACAATGCGTCGCGATTATTTTTCTAATCACAATCATGTATACTGTCGAATCGTACGTATTGATACATTCTCGTGATATATTCTCTTTTAGAAGATCGATTCGAGAGGCGAAAACAATCAACGATCATCCTTCGAAAACGGATCTATATATCTCCCGAGAACACATCCGATATTGACATCCGATAACAAAGAATAGAGTGGAAGACAAAAGCGAGAGAGGACAGATTGTTCGTATAGTTTCCCGCGATGTTTCTCCCGCAATTAGGGATATGCAAAAATAGGAGGACAAATGGCGGTGGTCGGCCACCTCCACTTAGCAGTCAATCACAATTAAATACAATTTTGCGCGAGCTTCGGCCCCTGGTAATGGCGCAAAAAGAGAGCAAATTGAAATCTCCTAGCTGACAGAATGATAGATGGTGGCGCGCAGACGCGAAAACACGGGGGACGGAGAAAAAGAGGGATAGAGATGGAACGGCGGAGAGTTACCTTCCCCGCAGAACGCCGCTGTGAGAAAGCTGGTGCTGCTGCTGTTGCTCCTGCCTTTGCTTCGAGCCGAACAACGGGCGAAAATGCAAAAGTGAAGGACCAATGTCTTCTCCTCTTGAAGAAAATATATCGTTTAGAGAGAACAACTACGTACGTTACGCGTATACTCGATCGAACTCTATCCAGTTTTCCGTTATTCCGTAATTTAACGTGACTACGCGAAATCCTTCCGATTGCCATTGTTGTTTTCTCCCTGACGACTGAAATTACGCTCTAATACACCATTGAAATTGGTCACTCGTTATCATACCACGTTTTCTCACTTAATTCGACGTTTTTTTGAACTTTTTGATAATATCTATCCAGGATATGGAAAAAGTAATTGATAATCACGCAACCGATCGTAACGGAACATCGCGCGTTATCGCGCATGCTCAATTAGAGCTAGATAGAAATTATCGCTCGAAGACGATAGCGACGATTAATCGAAACTCGAACAAGGAAATCGACCTCTTTGCGTTAGACGGCACGAATCTATTTCCGCCTAACTTCCTCCGTTAAGATCCGATAGAAAGATTTAATCGAAGAGAAAAGAAGACGTTTGTGACGATGATCAGCCAAGGAATGTTTTTGTTACAATGTATAATCGAATATTACTATCGACTCTCGATCGTCTATCGATCGAGATTTTGTACGGACGAATAACGAGAGAGGATATGCTTTGGATTCATTCGAGTAATAGGTTAGGTGTTGAGTCGATAGAGGTCGTGATCGCGGCGGTAACGCAGGCAGTTTGTTATTCACCGTGGAAAAAGTGGATTTGCTACGCGTGGTTTTCTTCGTTTCGCGTAGATATAAAGTAATATAACGTGGATTCTGGACAGAGACATCGTGTCACCCGAGCGGAACGTGTTTCCAGAGATGCTTCTGTAGAGAGTTTTGCAATCGATTCGTTTGCCGGTTTCTCTTGGATTCTCGCTTCCTGCCGCGTTGAAAGAGTTTTCTTAACCTCTTCGGGGAAAGGGGAAGGGGGATAATGGCACGTAATGCGCGCATATACGGAGTGTTGATATATTTGTGGATCCATTCCAGATTCTTATTTGATTTTTATCTGAGTCAATTTAATGCAAAAAAAAAAAAATCAATTTTTTATCAATCCCTACATTTCTCGATTAAGAATCCAAAGGTTTTTCACGAATATATCAACAGTCTTTTTTCCTTCTCCCAATCGTGACATGGAAAGAGATACTACGAGCGTTATCATGATATATATAAATTCTACAGCTTTTTATCGATATTTTAAAATTATCGTGGGCGATAAATTAGAAGGGCGAAAATTCGAAAAAGATCGGCCCTATTTTTTTTCAAATTTAAACTTCGTCGTTCTCCATTCGTTTCGTGGATGAAATGCGTAGTTGGTTTCTTCTCGCGTGCTCGTCTTAGACGATATTATCATAACTCGCTTCTAATTTGCAGACTAGCGACCAGAGAAACGTAAAAGAGACAAAGGGGGAGGGGGGAGGAGTTTCTTTCGAACGGCGCCCTTCAAATTACGGTGTTTCTCGAAAGTATTGGACTCGAGGATTCGAGAAATGATCGAACTATCGTCGTATAATAAACATCGTTGTTTCTTTACCAACGGGACGAGTGGTGAGATTATGCAAATCGGAAAGAGGCGAATTTTGCAAAGCGATTTTTTTTTTCTTTTTACGTTATTTCGGGTCGATAGCGCTGCCATCGAGAGTACCTTTGTAAATAAATTGTACGTTTTATAACATGTTAATAACGACGTATATAGTAAGATATACGTAGTATAGTAAGATTTAATTTAAGAGGAGATTCGAAATAGGCAAAGCAAATTCCCACCAATAATGTTCCTCTAAAGAGACCAAATGTATTTAAGGATGTGCAATGTTGAATAAAAAAACACATTGGAAGATTCGATGTTTTTTTTTCCTCTCATTTTATCCGTTGCGCTCAATCCTTCATTTTATTCTCCTTCTCAAAAACTAAAAATTATCGCTCTACTCGAAGAGTAAAAGTAACCTTTTCAAAAAATTTTTCAAAAAAAAAAAAGAAGTTTCTTGTTCTCCAAACTTTTCCCTTTTTCTTTATTTCGTTTCCAACAAGAGAGAGAGAGAGAGAGAGAGAGAGAGAGAGAGAGAGAGAGAGAGAGAGAGAGAGAGAGAGAGAGAGAGAGAGAGTAGAGTA